AGTTCAGTTTTTAAGGCTCATAGAAAAGATGTTACAAATTGGTGAATTGTTGTAGCTCTAATGTATACAGTTGAATTTCAAGAAACTACTTCATGGCACCCTGGGTCATAGAAAAGATGTAAGAAATCAGTGAACTGTTGCAGCCTAAAGTTCTTGGCACCTGAAGTCAAAGAAGGAATATAATAAATAAACAAACCTGTAGAGATATCATCAATTCTAGGAGGGAAACCTTCATCTATTCCACCCATAACAGAGAAACCAAATCTCTGTTCTTGTTTAGATAGAGTCATAGATACATTCCATTCTCTTATTTCTCTATAGTCTCCCTACAATAAAATAAAACTAGAATTAATTAACAGGGGTGCAGAACTTGTCACAATAACTCAATAACTTAACAGTAATAAGGGTGATGTAAGGGAAAAAAGCCAAAATATTTGCCACTCATGTCTGACTGATTAGAGCAAATAGGATTAGATATTACTAAATGAATTGGAGATCTATATATCCTATTTTCTGCTTCTTAAGAAGACAGGGAATGCCATGCAGTGTGCCATTAGAGAACTTAACCACAACATACCAAGGATGTCACTGGACACTTGTCCAATATCCAGATCTGGTTACTGTATATTAGAGCCAAATGTGTTCAGTGATTGTCTCCCATTCTATTTTCCATTAAGATCTCAGAATGTTTGGCATTATAAAAATCTATATATAAATATTTCAGTGATTATTATTACCTGTTTATGTTTGTATTGTGGTCGTTTTATCTGTGAAATCTGATGTTCCACCTGAAACTCTCTTATTTCATTCATTTTGATTCAAATCTTTCACAATTCTGTTCAGCACAACCTACAACAAATTATAAAACATTGTGATGTACAAGGTAGAAATGAAATTTAGAAGCAAAACTGACCATATCAGTAGCTTGGACGTGATACATGGATGCGACATAAACAACTTGTAAGGGAGTTGCACCAACCTATGTTTAAATCGCTTTTAACTTTTGGCATCTTTAAAAAGCTGACCAATCAAGATATAACATCTTTTACAATGCTGCTGTGCCCAACACGGTAACACAATAAAGGGGAAGGTCTTTCCCATCCTCATATAAGTCCATAAAGCAAGCGTATCCCTCAACTGTATTGTGCCAGATTTGTCTTGCTATATTTATACATTGTAGGTTGCAATGCTATGAGAGTTCATAATTTAGTTCTGATACTTACAATATCTATATATCAATTTCCATTTTCTCTGAATTTGGAAGGCCTAGAACTGTAATTCCTTTGACTTATATATCACTCTTTCTGATTAATACCACAAAGTTTTACATAATGCATAATTTGAAAACACAACACAACACAGTTTAACAATAAAATATCAAGTTATTCACAACAAAAACCATTCAAATTATAAACAAATATATTTTATACTGTACATTCCATAACATAACAGATAGGTCAGTTTCACTTTATAATTTATATACATATACAAAATAGAGTAATACTACATCTACATTTCATCTGAAGCTTTCTTCACATTTTCAATTCACTTTTTTTTTCTACTTGCTTCTTGTCAAATGATAGTCGTCTCAATTGTATATATTTATATATCAGACATCAGTTTGGTTTTCTGAATTTGAATAGGAATAGTTGAATTATGTTTCTCTCCTCAGATGTTTACATCCACAGGTAACAAATATCTGATAGCAATTATCAATTAGTCCCTATACATAAATCCATTATTCATCTAAATATTTGAAACAGAACTTCAACTTGGTTTATAAATTACGTATCTGATTCAGAGAGTACAGAACATCATTGTTAGGTTATTTATTTATTTTGATATACTACAGTATATAGCATGTCCTAAAATCACTTCTAATTTCATCAGTTACTTATTACGCTGTTGTGAACAATCAATGATTTATCAGATCACAGAATAATCCAGTATCACATGAAACAGAAAACTTGTTGACTACTGCAACTAAGGAGTACTTTGGATCCAGTCTGAGAGTCCAATATGTATCATTTTGATTCTACAGATACAGAAGAGTTCCTGAAACACAACAGTCAAAAGTATTAGGAAAGGGTTACTGAAATAAAATGAGGTTTTTTCACAGCTTACAGTTTGGAATCTTCTATTATCATAACATTGTTTAAATCACTCAGACTAATATACACATCAGGATTTCACCATTATACAATATTAGACCAATTGGGAAACAGGTTCAGACCCTCATTGAATACAAACCTTCAGAAAAAGAAAACATTAAAGATTCCAGCCCAGTCTATGAAGGACTATTAGATTATATAGTATACTGTACCTAGTGATTAGGGTACCTAGTGTATGTGACAATATACTAGAGTCAGATGTAAATGGTAATGGATATCCTACTATGATAAGATAAAGGTTGCTTTTAGTAATTGGATATTTAAATTATCAATAAGACTTTAGGTTTTAATAATCTCTTCCGGGTTGAATTTAATTGTTCACTTGAGTAACACCTACCATAGTGCTTTCATTGAGACTCATCTCAATACACCCTAACACTTACTGTCCATATGTCTTGTATTCTCTTTGGGTTGATGAAAATACTAAATATTATTTTACAGATGAGAATAATCAGATCTAAATGTTGGTCAGTTTCAGATGTAATATCTATGAAATGTAATATGTGTATCATCGAACTAAATATTTCTATGGATTCAAAGAAGTTCCATGACAACTGGCATGCAATTTATAGTTTTATTTTGAATATTATTGCAATGACAGAAATAATTCTGATCTGAGTTTACTGTGGTCTAAAACTAAAAGGTATGATTAAGAAAAGAGGGTGTCTGGTGTTTTTAAATCACATCTTGTCAATCATTAATAGATGAATCATAATAGGTCTATAACAACCACTGCAAATTGCTGGAAAGACTTGGAATGTCCTTGTGTAGTTCCCATCAAATGAAAAACTAATTCCACATTTTTAGAAACCATAATAGTGTTAAGAGTATCCTACAGTAAGTGTTTTGAACATAATAAAATAATGTATAATACTCACAGCTTAGATCAAATGAAAATTATCAAAATAATCCAAATTCCAACCATTTTTAATTCATAAATAAAGCCACTACTTCTAGCTTCTATCTGGCTTGTAGAATCAACCGCCATGTTGATTGTGAAGACAGCTCAGTCACCTGACAGGTACTCTGGATTAATTAAAGGAGCACTGTGCAGGATTTTTTGAAGAAGTTTTGATAAAGTTTAGATTGATTGACTTCTCAAGTAGAACAGATTATAGTTTGAATATGTCTTATATCACAGAAAGGGCATTGCTTAATTTTTCTAACTTATATCAAATTTGGTCTTTATGTGTTCAAAATAGGCCTAGTTCTGCTTTAATGGTGCCATGAAAATATCAATTTCTCTGAAAAGATATTTCTAGTCTAGTTTTGGTAATTATTGGGTAGGGGTTATTGTCCAGCTTGAGCCAGTACTTCATTGAAGTAGAATTATGTGCTGATTTATTTTGAAATATTTGTATTTTAATTAAAAGCAGAGTGTAAAATATCATGGAGAAAACTTTATAAGCAGATGAACAATTATTGTGAGGTTCTATATCACAGTCGGTGAGAGCATTGGTTCTTTGCATTCTTGACTTCATTATTTTGCTTGGTTATATCGAACAAACGGCCTCTTTCATATATTTCTGACAATAGGGAGAGTGTCATAATTCTTGTTTTTGAAGGTGGCATTTTGGAGAAACTTTCAAATTATATTTCTTGCACATTTGGTCTAAGATGAAGGTGGAGTCAATGAAATGTTGATAGTTTGCCCACTTCTACAGATGTTTATTCATTTGACTAACAGATTGAAGATAAACAAATAATAATAATTTTATAACAATTTGTTTATTCCTTTATTGATACCTTTAAAAATCATTTATAAAAATATACAAAATAAAAACTCACTTATACTTTTAGCATAAATTCCTTCAAAAATATTTAACCCACAATTTCTATATTCACCTTTTTTATATATCACAGAGTATCTTAAACTGATGAGTTGTCATTTAACATTCAAACTCAGATAATTCTGGACAAACAGGGATTTGAAGGCTCAAATTTCAACGGTGAGCTGTGAACACTATTACTGATTGGCCTAGATAAAAAAATTCCGGTTTTCTGAGACCAGAGCATGATTGGTCACAACGAATGGTGCATCTGTCCCTTTAAAGTGCTAAGGGAGTTAATATGTAGTGCAATAAATATTGTTATTAAAACATATAATCATAAAACACATCACACATTAACATGTAATAATGCCATCTCTAATATAATATCTGTAAGTTTTGAATTCTTTCATTTATAATAAACACTTATGTTATTTCATCTAAAGCATACCTCATGTATTCAGATAATTTCAAACATAAACACACAATTTTTAAATACCATTTTCTCACTATTCCAATATTTTCAAACAAATACAGAAACTCAACAAACGTCAAAAATATTATCTATAAAATTGGTAAAGAAAGCAAGGTGTATATCTTAGTATAATATTGATTTAAAGATGATATAACTGAGCAAAGATATTAGTGCAAGAACAATTACAGTGTTTTTCTCTCATTTCTACGAAGCTGAAATGATAGTTTACCGCAAATTATATTTGATGAAAACAAAGTGATTATAATACAGTACTGAAATTTGCATTAATCTATACTATATATTCATTTCATCCGATGAACATTGTTGTTTTAGTTGAGTAATATGGTGATATACATATTGTGTTCTTCGGGACAGCTAAAACTCATTCTTAAAGGTCGTTTAAATCATACTTTATATATTTTTTACATCCAGTTGATTATTTCAGATCATTAACATATAGTTTATATAATTGATATACAGTAAATTATAATATATTCAACAAACATCAATAAACACCAAATAGACAAGCAACACTCATTCCTAATGGTTGTTGACATTATACTTTATTTTTTACATCCAGTACATTTATTTCAGATCATTAACATATAGTTTACTAATATACGGTAAATTATATGAACCAAGGTAAATAACTCCATTATGTTCCTCTGCCTCACTGATAGCAGGGATTTTCTCTCCAGTGGGATCGTGTAAACTTCGTACTATTTTACCCTCGCTGTTTACTTCAATCAATAAACCATATTTAGGTACTACTTTTTTTATTAGATCCATTGATAAAACCTAGAATATCAAATAAATGTGAAATTATCTGGAGTTTTACACAAATATCATGATTGCTTCCCTTGGTGATAGATATTAATTTCATTTTATCACACCAAATCTCAGAATGATCACTGCCTTGTCTGTAATTTCAGGGAAGAAAACATTAAAATGGAGCTCTATCAGCTTAGAAGGATATTCTTATAAGTATATCTCTTAAAGTCATAACAATAAAATGGAAAGTTTGTGCTGGCCTAAAGGAGTCATTTTGAACGAAAATGATTTTTTTTGGCCTCTGGTTTAAGAATTGACATTTTTTCTGAATATTTTTCCACAGAGTAAATGTTAGAAGACTTCTAATTCCTTTAAGTTTCTTCCCAAAAAGATTATATTTCAACTTTACCTTTGTAACAAGAGTCTTAATCCAGGGTTTATCACAAACAAAATCTAGAAAATTAAATTTATCAGCCCTTCGTACACCAGTTAGTCCAACCCAGTAAGTACCTCTACTAGTGGGACGGATATTATCAGGTAATCCAGGTAAATTATCAGACCAGATTTCTAATTCACCTTTTTTATTACCAGATAGATGATACCTACAAATTATCATTTTTAAATTAAACAGAGTTTTTCTTCTTGAGATGTGAAAATTGTGCGAATAAAAAATGTCTTGCATCAAAAAACAAGCCCCGTCCTCTCATACATGGGTGTCGGTGAATAAATATGTTTTTTGTCTATCAAACGATTTGTGCATGAACTGTAGGAGCTAAATGATCTTGCCAGAACTACCTAATAATTCAAATAATCACAAAAATTTTACTATGGATTCCAAAGCAGACTTTAATCAAATTCAAAATTAAAATGAATCATTTGCATTACATTAAGTCAATAGCTTAGTGTGAAATGGTTATACTAACATTTACTCACTTTAAAATTCTGGCTTTTGTAGTTTCACATATCAACACAAAATCTTCATTTTTAGACAAAACTACACCATTAGCAAAACTAATACCAGTAACTTCTTCAGTCATTTTACCTTTAGAAAATTTTAATAACCTGAAATATATTACATAACTATATATCTATAAGTGGAGTTTGAAATAGAGATTATATAGGTTCTTCATCTTTGCAGACTGCAGAAAGGAAATGACTTCTACACTATATTGTATGAAGACTAGGGAATAGATTTCACTTATGATGTTTTAAACCAGATTAATGATAAATGAATCTATTTGTAGCAAGATAACAGGACATAACACACACAAATCATTTTACCTGCCGGAGTCCTCTGCCTCTAGAATACTGTAAGGATGATGTCTTCGATCCCATTTTCTACTAGAGTCAGTAATATACATAGTACCATCTTTTAATATAACTACATCATTTAAAAATACAGGTCTATAGCCTAATATCTTCTCTTTAGAATCAAACAACTGATGGGCATCACCTACAAATGATATAACATCATTCTAAAGAGGCATTATATGTGGTCTGAATAATAAATGGTACAGCTCTAGAATATTCCATGAGAATGGCAGTCAACAGAATGTATGTTCTTGCAGTAAAGATTTGGATTCTGGAACAATTTTGAGGAACAATTAAGGCAATCTGGAAGATGGTGTAAATGGTAGGAAAGCCAAGAGGTCTACAAGTCTGCAACTTACTAGACTAAGGCCAGGAAATGGAATATTACATCATATTATTTAGTTGTGACACAAAATTAATATTACCTGTAGCTACATTGATCCTATATAATCCTAAATAAGCATCAACTACAATTAAATATCCTTCTTTATCTAGTTTTAACCCTAGAGGTCGTCCACAAGTTGGTTCATCTTCAAATTTACCTATAATAGTCATTATGTATCCTTATTACATTGCATGATCATCTACCAACCTGAGTGCACAGACACAAAAAATATTGCTGTTGTTGCCATTTGCTTATGTTCTGATAATCAACTCGAGCTATTGGATTTTTTCAATTGAGTGCTTCGATCATATTAACTGTGAAATATCCAATGAGTTGAGTCGAATCACCATTCAACCTGATCTAATCCATCTGGAATACTTAGATAATTACCACAGGGAGGTTTTCCAAGTTGAGCTAAAACCTTGACATGACCTTGAAAGATATCAATGACCTTGCCATCCATGGTACCAGTATAAACATGATCTGATGAAAGAGAAATTAAAAACATTGTGAGTCAATGTCATAACTAAGCTATGTGTCCATGTATGTATGTATATGATTTTCAGTTGACCTGTTGTAAGGTCAAAAGCCAAAGGCCATCTTCAAGATGGCTTCCTGTAAAGAAGGACATTGATGTGTGCCAAAAATATACATCCATAACAATTCGTTAAACACATTTCACTACCTTCTACACAATCCTGATTAAAAGATTGACCATAAATAATAACTAAAGTATGACTTATCTTCCATTATTGATACATAAGAAACAAAACAACTTGCCTCCATCTACAACTATAGACTCTGGTCCTTTAACTTCATCTAAATATAATCTACTTGCTTTCTGTAATAATGTATTGGGTTCTAATGGTCCTTTAAATTCTGGTGGCTTCTCTAAGCTAAATAGAAATTTTATTTAGAAATACTTGATTGAATACCTTAAAATTGCAAAGACAACAAGTCCACAACACAGATAGACAAGTGGAAATGACTTTTGAACTGATATTTCTAATGTAGACTTTCATTAGTCAAACCTATGCCATTTTAAGACTCTGGTTCCCAATCACAGCCTATTGTATTAAGATACCACCTTAAACCAATTGAGTTACCTGTTACACATTGTAATGTTTGACACATTACAACCGAAACTTGTAAATTATCAACAGTATATTTTTACTGTGAAGCACAGCTAGGTTTCTGACCATTCTTATGGAAGGCATGTTTGTCTAAATGTAGAATAGGCTGCCTACTAGAGTACTTACTGATATGACAGCGGTTCTATAGGTGATGGTAAAATTAGTAAGATTATAATAACTAATAATAAACCAGCTAAAAATACTGATACTACAAACTCACACCATCTGAAACAGACAATTAGTTTAATTTACTTCAACTGCAGGAAAGCCTATATTTGTAAGTTAATGCTACCCTTCAGGCTCTGGCATCCTAGTTAAATGATTATCACCTATTTTTACTACTGTAACTGTCTTTACAAACTGTTTAATTTCAAACAACCATCTTTCATCATTTGATTTCTAACCTTTGAGGTTTCTGCATATTATTGTCATAAATAATACCCTGCAGTCAGTGCAGTTTGAGAAATTTACCCTTTGGATTGAAATTTGGCATCATCTGTCAGACTTTTACTGGGAATGTCATCTGTATTCCTTCCTTGTCCGCGTCCGTCATCGAATTTTCTTTGCCTCACGTTCTCTTGATTCATTTTGGCAGGCAAATCTTGTTTCACCTAGCCAACAGTCTCAATCGACCCACATTTACAGTCAAAAACAACCGTAAAAAAAACAACAAACAGGAAAGTTAAACAACTCTAGATTGTCAAGACGTAACTTTTGTTTTAAATGGAGTTAGCTCCCTTGACACACTAAAGTGAGGGAATTGATCATTGGTGCGCGCTAAGGAGGTCCTTGGTGCGCCCACTGAGTTATGGGTCCGCCAAACACTTAATCATTGTACTGAATGCCAAGCTCTGCAACTGGTGTATATTTTGAACTGGACATTAAGTTTAAAGGTTAGGGAACAATCCCTTGGATCAACTACCTAATGTTAATCCTACACTTTGCCGATGTTAGTTGAAAATTTAAGATGATACTGTGCTTAGACATATATTCTATCACTGTCAGCGTTTTCAATATTTTAACCAGTTCAATGTAGTCTATATCCTCTAACTCTATGTATTAAAATTACCGAAGCCCCGTCTGCTACAAGATGTTCACGTTTAAGATCCCTCGACAGAAATCGAAAAAGATTAGTCTAATACCGCTTTGCAGTCTGTCTCCATTAGTCCAATCAGGTGCGGAAAACTTCATTTTCATTTCAATTTTACTTATTGTCTGTAGACATAATGAAACTTTACATGTCAAGGTATTGTCTCCCTTCAGTTACTAAATAGTTCCATTAATTCAATGTAATAATTAGCTTAATATACCTTGGAAACATAAACTGTATTGTTACACCCACCTGAACAATATTCACTTCGTTATAGGAAATGATAATGAAAGATTGCGTAAATGTTCAGACAAAATGAATATTTTATTTTTGTGTTCATCTACAAGGTACCAAATAACACCAATCTTATTTATGTTACAACGATCTCTTCAACAATGCCGATTTCTTTCGGCACAGCTAAATTTTAATCCATCTTGTCTTAAGAACAGAGGATATATTTCAACCATTCTCAGAATTATGATGATTTAAATAGTTTTGTAGCTATAATGGTGCAAACCTCACCTTAGCTTTCCACGTCTTTAGCTTAAGATCTGATCGCTTCATTTTCCATCTTAATTGATAATGCCATAATCTTCCATCATTAAATTATATAATTCTAAATTCTGTCTTTGAAGAATCAGATTGATCGATTTCAAAATAAGCACGCACGTGCCTTTGATAAAGAGTCACATTTCTTTTCAATTCTACTTGTCTTGTCATGATTAACATGAATTCAACCAATAAAAAATCGTTCATTTTGAAAGTTATGTGCTAGATAAAGTTCGGAATTACTTGTGAGCCAGCTGCAGTATGTTTCTCCTGGATGATTACTAGATAGAAGACAATGTATGACAGAGAGAATGTATGTTCATTGCTTAGTGAACCGTTCTATAATACTACACTTAACTTCACTCTAATTACAAGTCGTTACTTACTCAACTCATCAAATCATTTATAATATAAAGACAATGGTTATATCAAAGATAGGGTACCCCTTTGTGTTATTCACTTCGGCTTGTGAAATTCTTACGAGCGACTTGCAAATTCGGTGACGTGGGCTAATAATGTATGTTATTTCAAATTTTGAATAAACTATATATTCTGTGAAGTATTAAGTTACTTTATTCAAAGAAAAAGAGAGGTATTCGTTACTATTATATGGAAGCAATATGATTAATATTATTGATAACATAACGAATTGTGGTAAATCGAAACCCTACGCTATCCCACAATTCGTTATGTTAAAAGAGTCAGACCAATTTGTTATCTAATTTTAATCAGATTGTAGAGGCGTATTTAGAAAACAAAATACAGTATACTGTAGACCGCAAAATAATGTCAGATTAGCGAGAGTGTCGGAGTACTTTCTTTGCCAAAATCGCGTTAGATGTATTCTCCGCCTTCCTAGATTAGAAAACTTTCCAAGGGGTGGGGAGCTGCTACTGACCCTCCACCATGACTTGTGCCCTCTAAAATCTGAAAGGGGAGCCGAGGTGCTCGGATGCCACCCCCGCCCCCCGTATCAATGAAATCCTGACTACACCACTGTCAGATATAGAAGGGAGCGTCAACATATAATCCCTCTCATTTGCCCTTAGGCGTCGCAAGAGAATGCAATATTATAATGATTATTATTATTGTCCCAGAGTTTCGTGTTTTTCCACAGGTTAATACAGTTATCATCCTCGATTTGACGAACATTTTCTAAAATATATCATTCTCTGTGAAATTTCAAACCGTAGCATCAAAAATTTTCGGGACAAAGGCTGTTAACTCCTAGAAAAAAACGAGACCATAAAATTTCTTAATAAAAGGAATTAAAAATTCGATGCGACATAATATTTGTAGTAAACAATCGTCCTTTGTTTCGAAAACTTGTCAAAATTAGTGAAGTGTCATGACTTTTATATGTCATTTATTTATATATATTTTTTTAATTTCGAAGATAAAAGTGGAAATTGTTTATGTCTAGGTATTACATGAGCAAAGTTGTTTTGAAAACTTAACAACTATTTGTACCATTGAAATTTCAAAACAAAATATCATTTGTATTATCTCTGTTGGCCACAGACAAGAAAATTGTCCCACGTCTTGTCTTACAACATTTTCTCGACAGTATTAAAGTAAATACGTGTCAGAATGCACGAAAGAGTAAATTAGTACTTGGCCTTAAAAGGGACAGGTTCGTCTTTCGTACAGAAACGGGAGTGTTTGTAGCTAAGCTACCCAATAGTGTTCACAGCTCACCGACGAAATTTAAGCCTTCAAATCCATGTGTTTTCCAGAATTTTCCGTGTTTAAAACATTAACATTGTGAACATTGCTTTAATCCTGTGCCAGTGCCTTCTGTTGGATAGTAACTTGTTACCTTTCAACCATCCTAATAACTAACAATAGTTTTGGTGATGTGAATGATATGGCTAGTAGTCCTAACTATTTATTTTTACTTCCGTCTGATTGAAGTATTTTATATGATTGACTAAGCAGACTGCCTTATTTTTTAAATTCTCACTTCACCAAGCTAATCTTCCAGATGAAATAATGTGAACCGAAGACATGAAACTTTCTGTACCATCACAAATACTGTTTGTTCTGTCTAGGTACTTTCAAACCTTTAGGAGGTACACCGGTTCCAGCTAAAACTCTAAGACAAATCAAACATGACATACAGCCATGGATGTTAAGCAAACACGAGTTATTTACGCTTCGAACCGCATGTTTATTCCACCAATTTAGTCCAGACAAAACGTCAAATAAAAACCATTAAGAAAAGTGCTTGGATGATTGCGTGGGATCTAAGAAGTTATTAGAAAGACCACAGTTAATTCTTTCCAAAGTAGGTGGTGACTGGCATATCGCTTGTCCTGATCTGGAGCCGAATATAAATCAGGAGAGTAGTCCGAAAATCTAATACATGTACCATGTTATGATGTGCTCAATTCAACGCAGGTCGTGTGTGAACTACAATGCATGGAGCAAAACGTTATACGAAACGATTAGTCATTGACTTGTATTGATTGTTTATTGATAATACGTCCCCGATTCGTTCGGGTGCGATAAGTCGAAACCATGCTCCTTGGATAGAATTTTGGATCTTGATTTTTCCAGGACAATCGACAGGTAACAAAAAATGTGCAAGGAAATTCGAGGCAGGAGGAATCTAAAATGTCGGGGCGTAGGGCGATTATTGTTAAAACAAGATGTTTCTTTTAAAAAATGCACTAGAACGCTTAGCCTAACTAATCGCAAGTGACTGGACAGAAATATCCTTTTGTTATTAAGAGGTCAACTTAATGCAAGACAAGATGAAGCTTTAGCACTTAATGTAAACACAGAGACAAAACGCACTGTGAACATCTGAAGGTCAATCACTGACTGATCTGGTATTTCCACCATCAACGGAACAATTGGAGAAGCAGTGAATGTCAATAGTTTCATTAATAGAAGTGAAATCTATTGGCACTCTGTTTTAACCTTTTAATACAGTTGATCATTTCATTAACACTCAATGTTTATCTGATTTGCTCTGTACTCGCTCAGAAACTGACGAGGAAATAATCGTATGGTGTCTTCTGAAACCTCGCACCTAGTGAACGTATAGATACAGACTTTCCAATCTGAACAAGACGAACTGTTTGGATAATTGTACTACAGGCTACGACTTCCCTGTTGACATACCCAGTTGTATTGACTTTAGTTTCTACAAGGGGGGCCATCGTCTTAGAAAAAAGAAAAATATATATATCGAAGTGCAATATATATTATATGTATAGCCAAAGCCAAATGTTAGAATGTGGTCGAGAAACAATCTTATAGCTCCACCTCAATTTTGTTTTAATGGGTTTGTGTGCCCTTGAATTCGTTACTTGAAAGTCGTAATTTTGGTATACGATTGTTGTATAAAATGTTAGAACCTACCAATGAAGGGGGGAGGGGGGGGGGGGTTGAGGGTGCCATATCAATGAAATCTGTAATGCAGTAATTTCAAATCATCAAACTATAGGACAAACTATATTCTTTAATTTTATTTAGTGCTGTATTTAATATGAAATACTTCTAGGGTAGGATTAACAATTCATCCTACCCTCGTATATATCTTGAAATAATTAACATATTTCTATCAAGAACTTTGTGTTCAGTATTATACAAAGATGCTACATTAACTCAAATCGAGCTTTAATACTCCCCTAAGGAACAATAATAATCGTTCCCGGTGGAGCTATTACATTGAATACCATGAAGCAATATATTCATTCTTACAAGAACTATCATCGCGCACTGTTAAAGACCAACAATATTGATGTTACAGTTATTACCACCGCTGAGCTTGGCTGAATAATTAATACACCTTCTATTCGATCTCTGTAATCATTTTATAGTTACGGAACTAATATCTCCAAGTGGGCTCAAACACTACATAACTTCTCGATAGAATTGAATCTATATAATACTGTAACAAAAGACTCTGTATTACTATCTTAATATGAAACGCCCCACTGACAAATAGTATTACCATCTACTTAATAACACACGGATCGTTATTGTGGGACTTTGCTTTCAGCAAAGTCCCAGTTTGTTATCGAAATGTCAATTCTTTTTTTTTTTTTTTTTTTTTTTTTTTTTTCGATTTTTACACACCTTCCTGAGCTTAGACTACAGTAGTTGCAGCAACCATTCAACATTCACGAACCTTAGATATAGGCGACGATGTGCATAAATATATTTTGGATCTTCTTTGCAAAACCGGAAGTGCCACAGTTCAATATGTGCAAAAATAGATAATCGGCTCTAGAAGTCGTATTTTTCGGCCGATTTTCTTTGGGTTTGCATTTTTGGAATCTACTGTTAAAATCTGAAAGAATAGCAGTTTCAAAATTTCAAAATTCGAAAATTTTTCGCAGACATTTTTTGGCCGATTTTCGAAATTTTTGGACCATTTTTCAGTTTTTTTCGGATTCATCTGAAATTTTGATAAAAGATGCATGTCA